TTAGCCGATGTTATCCCAAGCCGAGGTCATCCTCAGTCTAGAAGTATCTTGGAACCCCTTGTTGACCTCCGTCCTTGCCTTGTCACATTAGCCGAGATGCTACCTTGCACCCAAGTGATCTCGTCCTGGAGTGGTACGACCTAGACCGAGGTGTGGCGCATCTAGGCCAAGATGTGGCACAGCTTAGTCAAGTGTTGTCTTTCCTAGCCGAGGTCATTGTCACCCTAGTCGCCGAAGCCCTTTTGTTAGCCGATGTCACCCCTTGCCGGAGCACCGTACCGTACAGCTTGTTAGATACGTCTTGTTATTAGCCGATGTCATTGCCCCGTTAGAGAGCCCATACCGCTTTACTTGTTGAACACCCTTCCACCATGCTTTGTCTGGTCTGTCAGCCACCTTTTCAGGGGAAACCCAACCAGTAACCAGTCGCTGCCACGTGTCCCAGCAGAGGGATTAAGCCCAGAACCAAGTGAGAACACTTATCATTTTAATGTCATAACCTTGCCTTTTAGAGAGAGAAGCTCTAGGAGGAAGAAGAAGTTTTAGAGTGAGAAAGTGAGTCTTCAAGCTTGATTCCGAGAGATCGAACCGTTTAATCCGTGTTCTAAGGTTAGATTCTTGATCTACTCATGATATTCTTTATGTTCATGTTATTGCATTGCATGATCGGATATGATTTGTAAGCCATGCATTGTTTTGAAATTTGGTTTTAGAAAGAGAAAACGACATTCATGTGTTCTTCAAGAAAAAGTCTTATTTGATCCGAAAGCTTGCATAAAGAATCACGTTTTTGTGTTTATTCCCGCGAGTACTTCAAGTACGGGTACCCAGGTCCATGTTTTCAAACTCGTAGCATGAAAACCCCAGATTTGTGATAACAGATTGTGATTGAACATTCATATTTCTCATGTTTTCACACCCATGTTCTTCATATTCATCGGCAGAGGGAAACCCATAGTTTCCCGACCTCTTTTCCTTGCATGTGGCCCTCGGGGACACACCTCGATAAGGAGGTGTGGAACCTCGGCCTAGACCTGGTTAGTGCCCAGCATGTTTTCCGAAATCATTTGTATACATATGAAGCTTGTTTGAAAGTGCATTCAATAGGCCTTGCCATGTGTTTGTAGGACTTGGACTTGTCTCGATCCCGACGTTGAAGAGCTATGTGAGTGGTATTTTTAATAAAGCTATGTTACACTTGTTTCGATAAATCTCGTTTTGCTTTGTTTGACGAAAAGTATTTGATTTAGCATGAATGACTATCCCTATTTGTATATCGAACACTATCTTGTTTTGATGACATGTCTTGAAAGTCCTTAGCTGCAGGGGACTATAATGCAACTGCACTCTTGTCTTGAAAGTCCTTAGTTGCAGGGGACTATAATGCAACTGCACTCTTGTCTTGAAAGTCCTTAGTTGCAGGGGACTAAAATGCAACTGCACTCTTGTCTTGAAAGTCCTTAGTTGTAGGGGACTATAATGCAACTGCACTCTTGTCTTGATATGTCATCGCACTTGTAATATGTAGATGTTATTAACATCCAAGGAATTTAAAAGGCCGGCAATGAACTCGATTTCCCCCTTGATTGTAAAGTATGCTATGTATTGTTTTGAAAGAAATCTCGGCTATGAATCATGCAAAACCTTTATTTCTAATATCATTCACTGAGTATCCAAGCTCACCCTCTCTATATATATGTAGGTGATGAGCAAGAAGGCATTGAGGCCTAGATGTGTTGCCGATGTGTTATGAATGCTGTGCCGACGTGTTTTGGATTTACATTTTGTGACGTCTTGAAGATCATGCTTCTTAGCTTTGTGTCATGTGTAATTTGCATATGTCGGCTTGAGAAGCCTTTTGGTCAAGATGTATTTTTTTTTGTAACTCATTTCCTTATTGTATTTAAGTTTTAAGACTTTGTAAGAATGTATGTCATTTCATTGAACTTATGCACGGCTCTCATGGACTACTCCGACCTTTGTATATATATATTGCTTCCGCACTTGTGAGCCCCTTATTTTTATACTCCGATTGTGTGTGATTCTTGTAAGTCGGCCTTCAGTAATCTCGGATTACTGGCCATCACGGCACCAAACTACTAGGGGCGGTTTGGGGGCGTGACATCCATAGCCAAGAAAAATACATTGTCTTAACTTACTATCAAGCTTGGACCTCTCATTCATTGGAATGTAAACAAAAGCTCGGCAACCAAACACTCTCAAGTGCTCATAAGACACATCTTTGCTGGTCCAAACTCTTTTAGGAACATCACCATTCAAAGGATAGGAATGAGGCAAATTGATCACGTCAACCGCTGTCCTCATTGCCTCACCCCAAAAGGATCTTGGTAATTTAGCTTGTAAAAACAAACACCTTGTTCTTTCTACAATGGTGCGGTTCATCCTCTCGGCAACGCCATTTTGTTGAGGAGTCTTCTTAACTGTCTTTTGGTGCCGAATACCTTGACTGCGACAATACTCATCAAATGGCCTAATGTATTCACCACCATTGTCTGATCGGATGAACTTCAATTCTGCCCTGTTTCTCTTTCAACCATGGCCTGAAAATGCTTAAATACTTTTAGAGTTTGATCTTTTGTTTATAGTAGAAAAGCCCAAACTTTCCTTGAATAATCATCAATGAAAGTAACAAAATAAAGTGCACTATTATGTGTTCTAACTTTCAAAGGACCACAAACATCCGAATGAATCAACTCCAAAACATTTTCTTTTCTAGAAGTAAAATTTTTATAAAAAGAAATTCTATGTTGTTTACCCGCCAAACGATGAACACAAGTTTTAAGATGTGTACCTTCCAAATCGGGTAAAAGCTCTTTCTTGAACAAAACTTGTAACCCCTTTTCACTCATATGGCCAAGCCGCTTGTGCCACATTTCAGTAGAAGTATCATCTTTAAGTGCATTGACAACACCTTTACAAATTTTTCCTTGCATCGAATAAAGTGTATGAGTCTTTTTGCACTTAGCCACCACCAAAGAATCCTTTGTGAGCTTCCATATTCCATCACCAAATTTGTTGTTGTAGTCTTCATCATCTAGCTTCCCAGTAGAGATCAAATTGAGACGAATGTCGGGAACATGCCTCACATCTTTAAGCAACAACTTGCAATCCAAATTTGTTTCCAAACAAATATCACCCATGCCAATAATCTTGGACAAACCTTCATTACCCATTCGGACAGAACCATAATCTCCTTTGGTGTAAGTAGTGAAGAAATCAACTCGAGAAGTCACATGAAAAGAAATACCGGAATCAATCACTCAATTGCTCTCTTGACCCACAAAATTGATACAATCATTTTCACAAACGACCATGAGATCACCACTGGTAGTAACTGCTGTTGTGTCTTCTTGCTTTTTATCCACACTTTTGTCACGCCTTTTCTCCTTGTTCTTGAGCTTTCAACATTCTCGCTTCATGTGCCCTTTCTCATGACTATAATAACACTCAATGTTTTTCTTTGAAAAAGAACCATTTTTTGATTTGTCACGGCTTTGATCACGACTATAAGGAGTCTTACTTCTCCCCCTTGTTTGCTTTGGCCTCTCACAACAAATGCTTCTGAATGTGAGGTACCCGCTGATTTTCTTCTAGTTTCTTCATTCAACAGGCTACTAGTGACTTGGCCCATTGTAACAACTCCATCGGGCGCCAAATTACTAACGGTCACAACCAAAGTCTTCCAACTTTCGCGCAAAGAACTAAGTAGCATCAAAGCCTGTAATTCATCATCAAAAACAATTTTCATAAAAGCAAGTTGGTTAACAATACTCTTTATTTCATTCAAATGTTCCAGAATAGGGCTGCTCTCTTTATGTTTTAAATTAACCAACTTACGAAACATTGTGGCTGATTTCCTATCATAAAGGCCTTCTAATTTTTTCTATAAATCATATGCTGAAGTTTCAGTAGCAACATGATGAAAGACACTGTTATCAATTCATTGACGGATAACACCAACGGCTTTTCGATTAAGCCTCTTCCACTCATCATCTTTCATATCATCAGGTTTGCCACTATCACCCTCAATAGGCCCATACAAATCTTTACAAAATAATAGGTCCTTCATTTTAGTTTTCCAAGTTACCCAATTGTTTTCGTTGAAGTTAGACATACGATCCACATTCCCCTCTACTGATTTACACAAATAATTAAACCCAAATAAACCATAAGCTCTCATACCAGTTGTTAGGGAAAATATAAGATTTCCCACAAGTAATCAATCAATGGGAATAAAAACTAACGCGAAAAAATTAAATCAAAAGCAACACAAGAATTTTTACGTGGTTTTCTCAATGTGAGGTATGTTCACGGGATCGAAATCTAATTCCACTATCAACCAAAGAGTTTTCAAACGAGACACGAATAGTCTCACAAAATCATCCTTAGGTGAATTCCAAATATTCACAAATAAATAAGAGAAAAGATCTCACCAAAAAGATAAATCAAAATCTTCAAACTAGAATCGTAGAAGATCCAAATAAACTTCAGCAACCCAGCCGAATTTTCACACGAGCAGCCGAAAATCAAGAACTGATTCCACCAAATTTAATTTTCACCTAAGCACTATCTCATAAATAATTGATCAAAAAAGTACTACTACTCCACAAACCAAAAACGGTTGCTTTTATTTGTTTTTTCTCACCCACAGAAAAACAAACAATACTTTTTCTCAACCACAGAAAAACAAACAACACCAATATATATATATATATATATGGTAAACTTGTAAGTTTTTTTATCAAACGCTAGTTGTAATCAAATTGTATTGTTATTAAAGCTAGTTGTAATCAAATTGAATTGTTATTAAATGCTAGTTGTAATCAAATTGTATTATTATTAAAATTGAATTGTTATTAAATGCTAGTTGTAATCAAATTGTATTGTTATTAAAGCTAGTTGTAATCAAATTGAATTGTTATTAAATGCTAGTTGTAATCAAATTGAATTGTCTCACAAATTAAATATATAAACACGCTTTCACCCTCTTCCACACCCTCTCCTCATTCAATTCTACCAACTCAGAAAGGACTCACAATGGGTGAGGTGAGTTCTTTCCCAGTTTCTCCATCCATTTGTTTGTGTTTCTGTTTCTCTGATTTTGTTCTGTTTCGATGTTTTGATTGCAGAAGAAGGGAGACAACGGAGATGAGAAGAACAACAACAACGGCGGCGAGCGTATGCATATTGAAATCCTCATCAACAAGAAGCGCTTTGAAGGTATACATATCAGATTCCTTATGAAGTTCTTACTCTCTTTCGTTTCTTTGACTGTTTTTGCTATTTTTTTTCTCATTGTTTTCTTTACATGTCGGCTTTAGATTTTAGATTTTAGATTTAGATTCATCGTCTGTTCTTTATTGCCTCTGTTTCTGCTCTTACTTCTGATTGCAAGATTCAACGGTTATTCAACAATACGCTCTGTTTCCGTACTTTGGCAATTTATTTGTTTTTGATTTGTTTCGGATTTTACTGTCAAATTATCGAACAATATCGAGAATAAGACGTTAACACATTTATATTGAGTTGTTTTTCTGTAATTTTGTTTAGTGATATGTTTTTGATGTTTGTGATTTGAGTAAAGGTGTTGAATCCGTGAAAGTAGACCTTGTGCCTAACAAACTGAGGGTGATTGCGGAAGTAGATTTGAGGAAGCCTCTTATGGTTGAGCCGAAGGGGAAGAAGAAGGTCGAACTTGTCTCTCCTTTGCAAAAGAAGGACAACAAGAAGGGCGGTGGCGGTGACGGTGGCGGTGGAGGAGGGCAGAAGGACGAAGGAAAACCATAGAAAAAGTCAGATGATGTACTACTATGCTCTGCTCTGCTCTATACTGATGTGCACCTGTGTCGTATTACGCTTCTCCTCTTTTCCCTCTGGATTTTGCTGTTTTGTCTTTGGTGCTGCGCATCTGGTGCACGATAGAATGAAGGCCTAGACGTATCACATCAAACCTTCATTCCCACTTCTCTATTGAAACTTGTGAAAGTTCGCAGTTTTTGTTAATGGTGTGATTTTGCAAACTACTACACTATACCACTAGAGGCGCATTTTAGCAACTTCACTGTTGTTTTCGATGATTCATCAAATCGACACTTCATTCAAAACTATTTATCGAAGATTTGAATGAGGAGTTTCGTATTTCATTCAATTTTTACTCAAAAATAATACTCCCTCCGTCCTAAAATATTAGTCTCTTATTTCATTTTTCATTGTCCCAAAATATTAGTCTCTCTTCAAAAATCAAGTACAAAAATAATGTAAATTTTCTATTTTACCCTTCTTTTAAATTAATAAACAATATAAAAAGTACAATTATGATATTGATATTCTCAAAAAATGTACTATCAAAAGGGTAATTTTGGAAAATTAATTTTTTTCAAATGTAATAATTGTACTATAAAAAAAAGTTAGATTCTCTGAAAAGGACTAATATTTTGGAACGGAGGGAGTAAATAAATAATCATCTCACCATCCATTCACGTCACTGGCATTTTAGCCCGAGGGCTTTGTGTTATTTTGTTACTACTATTATTTGTTTAATTAATTATTAATTGCATTAATCTTTTTCTGGTTTTGTAATTTTCTAAGCCTCCGGTGAATTAATTGCATTAATCTTTTTCTGGTTTTGTAATTTTCTCAGCCTCCGGTGACCACCGCTCTGATGAAGTTGGATCTGCACTGCTTCGAATGCATCGAGAAAATTAAAAAAATCATCACGAAGACCAGAGGTGAGAATGTCACGCCCTGTTTTTCCCATACAAACAGTTATGTAACAATTTCCAGTATTTTTAACGGCGAGAGTTAACGGCGTTGCAGGATATCATGGCATGTCCATTGATAATCAGAAGAAGCAGATCACGGTGAAAGGGACAATGAACATGAAGGCTCTAGCAGATGCACTAAAGGAGAAGCTGAAGAAACCGGTGGAGATTGTCCCGCCCAAGAAACAAGGTGGCGGCAATAAGAACTAGTAAGGCGGTGCCGGAGAGAAGAAAGAGAAAGGAGGTGGTGTATTACCAAAAAAATAATTTATTATTGGCCTCATTTGAGAAGTGATTATTTTAGAAGCTTTTTGATTAGAATAAAGATTGGGACACCCTTTTTCCCACCCCCTTTTGACCCCCTTTCTTTTTTGATTGGTCACCTTTTCTTTTTCTTTTCTTTTTTTTCCTTCTCCTCCAATCACCACCCTGTGTGGGGGTGAAAATTTGAGGGAGCCTAAATCACTGCTGTTTTGATTATTTGACTATTTTAATAGACTATTTTAATTTGTGTGTTTGGGAAGTTGGGTTAAATATTTGGGTTGATTGTTATATTGAAAATGTGTTTGAAATAAGGAAATTGCTTTGGAGCGGTAAAAATGTAGTTCTAAATTGACATTAAATTGTCTTTTTTTTTCCCTTTGTTTTGTCTTTTTCTGCTCTTTTTTTTTTTTTTTTTTTTAAAAGGGGTTGCCAGCTCAGTAGAGCTGCTATTAGAGTAGCTCTACTAGAGCTCTCAATCAATGCCGTTGAAATAATGTTCAAATTGAAATGATAAATTTGTTCTTGACTTTATTTTTTCTAAAATTGTTGTGTAGGGGTAATATAGTAATTTAACCTGTCTGCAACATACACTATTGGTGGCAGTGTAGGCTGCGTTCCTGCAGCAGCCGTTGCTTTATTTATTTATTTATTTATTTTTTTTAAAATCAATGATTGGTGAGATTTTTTGACTATTTTTCCATTTGAGGCTAAAATAACCTCTTTCAAGGCTTTCCAAACATTTTAAAACTTATATTCATTTTTTTTTTATTATATATGTTACACTTATTAAAAGTAATACTATTTGTTTTTGATAGATCTCGAAATTAATTATAAAAATTTACTTGGAATATTTTTATAAATTTTTTTGATATAATAATTAATAAATATCTCTTTTAATTTAATTGTTTTGACTTTCTCACTGACTTGATGTAACGTATAAGGGTGTCACACCGTGGGGCAATGGAGAGGGCCTGGTTTAAGTCTGAAGTTTCTTTTCTTTTTTTTTTTTCTTTTTTTAAATTTTACCCAAAATAAAAAATAAAAAATAAAGAAAAAGAAAAAGAAAAAGGATGGGTATTGGTCCCTCCTGGGCCCGAGGTTTCTCCGCCACTCAATAGGGCCCAATATGAATATAAGGGCTGTATTTTTGGAAAATTTATGGCTTCATGTTGGAGCATTCTATTTGAAATCAAAAAATATCTTAGTACATTTATAAATTTTAATTCTTATTAATGTGAATTTATCAATAAGGGCAACACATTAAATTTTAAAATAATTTGTTTTTCTCATAGTACACCTTAATTTATTACACATATTCAAATCTTTGACTCTTTTTCTCCAAGAAATCAATGTTATTTTGTCTTCTTCTTTTTTTTTTTTTCTCTCATTCCAAGACTCTAATCCACCCTATCAAAACTTACCATTATCATTAATATTATTGTTTTTTATTATTTTGAAATCCTAAATCCTAGAAAAAAGTTTGAACAATCAAGCAATGAATGAAAGTGATAATCAAGGTAATTTTTTGAAGCAACCCATCAAAGAGGAGGTAAGCATTCATATAAGAATCAAAATATAGTTATTAATTTCTATATTTTTTCACGTATTCCATTACGATATTAAATCTTTCAATTTTCATAATCATATAAATAGCATTATAGCTTTTAATAAAAAATTCTTTGAGTTTGAACTCAATGATCGTATTAGTATCATTCACACAAAAAAACAAGCTATATCTTGCGGTATTTTTTAATATAAAAAAAATTTCTGTCTTTTTATTCTTTTTTTTCTGTTAAACTTTATGTTTGTTCTTAAAAAAAAGAAAAAAGAAAAAATTATTGTTTCTATTATTTTTTTCATGCGTATTTTTTATGCACATACAAATTGTGAAAAAAATATAGAAACAAATTCAATAAAAGCGGTAAGTCAAGCAAGGGAGTTGAGTATTTCTCATTCAAGCATTTTGTCAAATACATAATAATCAACAAATTAGAATAGCAAACAAGCAACAGAATTGTCAAACACATAGTAATCAACAAATTGTTATAACAAAATAGCAAGAGAAGAAAGAGATACAAAAAAACAGAAGCAATGAGACGAAACTTGTCAATGGTGACTTTGATTATGGAGTCCTTCACCGGTGCCTCCTATGTATCAGTTTAAAAAGTTTTTCAAATACTTTTTTTTTTTAAAAATTGATTATTATTTGTTATTTGAATTTATTAAGGGTAACTTAGAAAAAATTATAGAATGTAGTCAGAATAATATAAAATTTTAAATAATTAAAAAGGATGTGCTTAAGAGGACTTAATGATTTTTTTGGGCTAAATAGAATCCCTCCTTCATGTTGCTACAAGCTGAATTGTTGAACATGATTGACGAATGGAACAAGTGTACAGGCTCCATTTTGTTTTTTGGGCTAGCGACACAACAAGTACACGGTCCATTTTTGTATTTGGGCCAGAGTTTTTGCTAGGGCGCCACTAGCTACATATAATCCATTAGAAGGCTTTGTGGGGACAAAATTTTCATAAACAAATTATGCTTGGTTCGTAAACCCAAAATAAAAAATAAGAAGAAGAAGAGGATAAAAAAAAATTGTCATTTAACAATTTTAGTAAAATTTGTAGAATACGATATGTGGGCTTATCGGGGTAAGCTAATTATTGGATACTCAAAACTTTCAATCTAAGCCCTAGAAAATCACGTAGTGCTTCATCTCTCCTGATCCTAGTGGTGACTTGAATACAATTGATTGCTTTAATATTGTGTTTGGTTGAAAAAATTTGTGAAGGAATTTAAAAATGAAAAGTAAAATGATAGGTGAAATGTGAATAAAATATATCTATATTTAACTTAGTTTCACATACTTTTTTCTTTTTTCTTTCTAAGGAGTGTTTTCGAAAAATGATTAAAAATTACTTTTTAACTTTTTTTGTGACTTTTAATCCACTTTTCAAAATAAATCTAAATTTTCCAACCAAACATAAATGTAAGTGTGAATAATGGGGACTGATCGTTCAATGTTAGATTTGGATATTGTTAGAACCGACCGACTGCAGATTAGATTGAAAAGAGGATTGATCCCTTCCATGCGTTTTTAAGGCACAAAATATTCAAAAATAAATTAAAAATCATGTGACACTTTTTACTTATTTCAAAATATTTTTTATTTTTTAAAATTTTTTTTACAACCTTTTTAGTTATTTCCAAATAACTTTTTCACCCCAATTAGCATTGCGATACACTTTTCACCGATTCTAAAATATTTTTTTGATTTTGAATATTTTTAAAACCTTTTTATTTATTTTCAAAGAACTATTCATTCCAATCTCCATATTAAATTGACCCCTTTCAGTTTAGAGAATCTTGAATGGTTTGCTATTCTCAACAAGTGAAAATTTGATAATCTCCTCTCAATCTATCTTTAGTGTATTAATTTTTTATATAAATATTCTATCTGTTCTAAAAAATATTTTACGGTGTATTAATTTTTATATGAATATTATATTTAACAGGTTCAAAATTCTTTTTATAGTGTACTAGTTTTTTTATATTAATATTCTACCTAACAAATTTCCAAAAGTTAGGTAGAGCTTTCAAAAGTTAACTTTCAAAATTAGTGAAAGTTAGTGACTTTACAATCTTAGAATACTATATGGCGTTGCCTATGTGATGCTTAAAGTATGAGAAATCACAAATCACACTAATTAGTTTGTCAACTACCTGAAAATAATGAGTTAATTATATTCAATCCATAAGATTTTTCACTACACTATTAGTTTAGACTACTACATAAACAATACAACATAATGCTTCCAAAGTATCAAGTAACTACTTATAGCGAGCAATACAATAAATCCTTAACCAAAGAACTTGTTAAGAAAAAAAAAAAGAATACAATTTGTATATGACCGCATAATGAAAACTTAATTCAAAAACTTATAACTCATAATCCAATACACAATTCAAAACTCTATTGAAAATTCTGTTCAAAGCTCATAACAAAACTCTTTTTAAAATTTAATTTAAAAAAATAATTTTTTATGTAAAAAATTAAAAATATTTTGTTATTTACAGTATTAAAAATATATATAATATTTTTTGTTAAAAAAAATTCAGAATTATCAAATTTCCAATCACCTCTTGTTGTCTCCGATTATGAGCATCAAGAATCAACTTCTTAGCCTTAGATTCAGTAACAGTTTGGTGAAGAACATCAGTCGGAAGATCCAAATAGCACCCACTAGGTTGACCTGAAATTGCTCTGATTGCAAGAGCCAGAGATCATGACCATAGGCCAACTGTTGACAGTGGCGTTGGAGAGGCCGGCAAGGCTGTGGATGCAGCCGGGGTCAGAGACGGTGAGGAGGATGCGGGGGCGGCCGGTGAGGAAGTCGTAGGCAGAGGCGGCGTAGCCGGCGGACTGTTCGTTGTGGAAGACGATTGAAAAGAAGAAGAAGAAGGCATTGTTATGGTCAACCAGTCGAACAACTAGAAGGATGTCCAGGCAGACGACCGGATAGACCTAATTTCAAAATTCAAAAACTCTACTCTGCTAAACATATTCTAAAAGGAATTTTCAAAAGTGGGTGTAGAATTAATTTTTGAAAACCATATTCAAACAACACTGAAATATGAGAGTAGAATTATAATTCTGCCCCTAAAGCAAACACAGCCTAAATAAATTAAGGACACTATAGTAATTTTGCTTCTCAAAATTTGCCCTACCATATTTCCATACACTTTATGTTTGTGCATCATGTGGAATTAAATTTGATAAATTTCATCCAAATTGCACTCTAATCCAAACCACAAGATGTTTGATTTTAGACCACAAGGAGGTTAAGTATTCTTTTAGGGGTGAGCATGGTCTAGATTGGTCCGAATTGGAGTAAAATTAGGACGATCCGTTATCTACGGTTCCTAAAAAATTGGAACCAATCCAATCCGTTTAAATCGTGGAACTAATACGAACTAATCCATTTAAACACGGATTAGATCGATTTAGGATCACAGATTCACATAATTAAATAACCAAAAATATATATATGTATATATAGAACATTTTAATTTTATAAAAACAAAAATATAGTATCATATTAGTTTCACAATAGTAACATGTCTTTCTATAATAGCGACATACTGTTCTAGAATTTAAACAACCACAAGAAAACTAGTTCCACCATAGGTATTTAGACCATTGCAAATTAAAACCAGAAGTCTAGACTGAATTGGAACCTCCAAGGGGAC